AATTTTTTTTTTTTTTTTTTTTTTTTTTTTTGTTAGAATGCATTTCAAATGTGCATAAAACTGGCATGTCAGGGTAGACTATGAGTGCAAGTCATGCAACTGGCGCGAGTCAGAGCAAGCATAGCAAGGGAGGTGAAGGTAACAAGAACGGGCAACCAAAGAGATGAGGCCAAGCATAGTGAGGGCGGGTGTGGGAGATGGATCGACAATAGCTCATAGGGGAAGGGGGATTTGGAAATGGCCTAATTCATTCAATTTTTAAGTGAAATGAAAATAAAAGTTTTGGGATATGTGAGATCCCTCAAAACTTTACTTTTATTTCCTTTACTTTAAAACAAACACCAAAAAAATAAAATGGAGGAGATGGAATGCAATACACTCCTAATGCTTTCCGCCTAATAACTATTAAAGTACTCACTGCAAGTTAAGTTTTACAGCATTATATCCATCCAAAACAAGCCATAGTTCATAGCAAGAAGATCTAACTAAGCGCAATATACATAAAAATTTTAATGATGGGTTGAAAAGCAAGTAGAGTGAACTATACATTTTTTCAGAAGGCGTTCATTTCCATTACTAATTACAAATTAAATGTATCGAATTAATTCAAAGGTAAAATATAATTAGCTAATGGTATTAGTTAAGTAATCTAAGGCTCTAAGAAAACACAAAAATCATTTAGACCGTTAAAATTAACAAACTCAGCAGTGAAAAAAACTGCATACCTCAACTTTGGCAAACTCAGCCACCGCTCTCTTTGCCTGACTGGGTTCCACATACCTCAAGAAAGCATAACCCTTATTCTTCCCCGTTTGTCCATCCATCATCATGCGGAGCTCCAAAATCTCCCCAATCTTTCCAAAAACACTCCTTATATCTTCCTCCTTCGCATCCCTATCCAAACCCCCTATAAATATCTCTGCCTTCCGCCTCTTCATTCTCTCTGACAAGCCCATCACCTCCTGCTCCACCACTGCAGCCTCCAACCCATCGCCCTCTTTCCCACTCTCCAAATTGTCATCTTTCAACTCCATCTGCCCACACTCTTCTTTAATCTCCAAATTATCATCAGATTTGCCTGACTCAAGCTTGTTATCTTCCTCCATCTTCACCTCCGGTTGCTGATTATCATCAGGGTTAAATGTCATCACCGGTGCATCCTGTTGAATAGTACTAGGCAGGGCAGAATTAGGGTTAAGGTACTTCTCAGTGTTCTCCCCTAAAGACACTATGCCGTCTTGCAGAGGCTCAGCATCCACTTTCTTTGCTGCTAATGAGCCCTTAGGAACCAACTTTTTCACAATTTTCTTCCTCACTACTTTCCTTGTCTTCAAAACGTCATCTTTAGCCTCCATCTGCAGACATTTTTCCTTAATCTCCACATTGTCCTCAGCCTCGGGTACAGGGTTCACAGGCTCCAGTTGCTGGAAAGCATCAGGTTTAAATGCCTCCTTCGTTGCATCCTGTTGTATGCTACTATCCAAAACAGAATTAGGGTTAAGGTCTTTCTCACTAGTCTCTCGTGAAGACGCTAAGTCATCTAGCTCTGGCAAGTCATCCACTTTCTTGGCTGCTACAGAACCCTTCGGAACTAACTTCTTCACAATTTTCTTCCTCACTACCTTTCTCACGCGCAAGACCGTCTTCGTGCTAGGCTTCTCGATAGGTTCAGCTGTAGTTGTCTCAGCCGTATTCACTCCAGGGGCTTCAGGAACCTCCTCCGCTGCGGGTTCTGAGGCTTCGGGAGCAGTAGTGATGGCTTCTGGTTCCCGCGAGGGATTGACGTCGAGCTCGTTCGCGATTTCGCCCTCGGGTTTGGTTTCCGGTTCGGGTCCGTGTCCGGTTTCGGGTAAGGGCCGTTGATCATTCTCCACAGAGAGATCGTTGAAAGCGGCGGCATCGGAGGTCAGCGAGGGTTCCGGTGGGGTGGGAGTTGGATTTATTGTGGCGGCGGTGGAGGAAGGGGTGGAAGATTTGGTCTTCTGTGGGGTTTTCGCAGTTTTCTTCTTTCTTGGAGGCATTTTCTATGGTTGTTTGTTCTTCTGCTGTGGTTTTGGGGTATAAGTTGTCGACTCCGTAGAGAAAGGCGGAGGCGGCGATGCTGTGAGGCTAGTGAAGAAGTGATGGAGATGAGCAGCGTTTCATTCAATATGCTTAAACATTTATATATTTATATATAAATAATATAAATGTAAAGAATGTGAAAATCAGATTCAAAAATAAAAGAATGAGATCTTCAAAATTCAATTATTAAAACAGAATTAAATTTCTGATTTTAAATCGGATCGGGCTGGCCGGGTTGACTTCTTCTTCTAATCAGTTTCAAATCAAATCAGGATAAAATTGCCCACCCAGCAGATTAAACCGTTGAATCATGAAATTGATGTCAGTTTTTCAGAACTGTGCGGTTCAAAGAAAGTGAATTTTGAGCCATCAATTTTAAATCCAACGGTTCAAAAGTTAAGTTAGGAAAATATGTAAATAACATCTTGTTCATTCTCCCTCCCGTAATTCATTTCATTTTCGCGTGTAATGCCATCCCATTCATCTCCCTATCGCCCTGGGCTGTTTTTTGGCAATTCACAAACTCGACGACGACAAGCTTAGTATTCTTCATTGGCATAACCCTCGCTTCTTCTCTCTTCTCTTGATCGTGGGATGTAAGTTTTTTGTAACCCTAACATTTTTTTAGTTTGTTTTGATTAGCTTTGTGTTCATTAGTTTCTAGATTTTCAGCTAGAATTTGTTAAAGTTGCGGTGGGTTGTAAATTAATTTATTTATCCCCTGTCCTATCTCCTTTAGTTCTTCCTTCCACCTTCAATTCTTCCTTCCACTTTATTGATTTTGTTTTCCTATGCTTCTGCTCTTTCAGAATTTGTTGGACTAATAGCCCCCTGATAATTTTTTTTGGAGTTGTGATTATATTAATCACCAGATATGAGCTTAAATCACATAAATAGTTTTTGAGGTATTAAACTAATGAGCATAGATGTAAAGTGATGGAAGGCTACAAGTTGATAAGATGAGGAAACATTGATACATTTTGCAGAAAAAAGAAATCAGTTGATCAGTATAAATTCAAACTACAATTAATATAAATTCAACTATCTACAAAAAGAATTAAAATCATACGACTACAAAGTAATCAGGATCATTGATTTGTGGACAAAGATGAGCCATTATTTGTGTAATGTGAATAGAAAGAGGAACCATGCATGGTCAGTCAAGCTTATTGCAAGCATGCCATGCTTGTTGTTGAAATAAGATGCAAGATGAGTATGTCATGCTTGTAGTTGAAAATCTTTAACTGACTTTCCCCAAAACCTTTAACAGAGTTTCAACTACTAGAGTAGCAATCAGGAAAGTCTATCAGGAACATGATGCTCTTGTTAGGAATCTCAATTATGGGGGGTTGAATATATGAATTTCATCATATTGTTTGATAACAATCATTGGTATTGCTGACATTTGAGTATGGGTTGTATTACCCATTTGCTGGCCATATTTTTGCTCTTAATGGATGTTAATTACCTCTCTTGCACTTGCACTTCTTTTATGGCCAAACAAATATGATTTTATATCAGTGGATTCTGAATTTGGATGATTATCTTTTCTATTCTTTTACTTTATTTGTATTTAGTAGGAGATAGACATATAGATGATTTTGATTGCTCGTCTTATGAAATGTGTCAACATGCTTATTACTGTTTCGAGTAATTCTTTTGTATATAAAAGTGAACTCATTGTATATGATGTTAATGTAAATTTGTTTAAAATTCATTTGCTTGTTAATATTAGAATTGAAGCTCCTGGTGCTCGGCCTACAATATCATGTCATAGTGTGCGTGAAAAGGTGGATATTGCTTGGAATCATTTCACAGAAATTAGAGGGGTTGATGGAAAAATAATAATTCAAATGCTTGCATTATGGTATTGTGTATAAGGCATGTGGCATAAACAAAATGAAACAATATTTAGCAGAAGTTAAGAGGAACATAGCTTCCTGTAAAAAAAGTGTGTCATGTTGTTCGTTATCAAATGCAGAAGAATTTAAAGGACATGTAAAAAACAAAATAGTAAAAATAGGAAAAGATGGAGAGTGCACATATTCATATAGATAAAATAGTATAAGAAGGGATTCTTCTTCTCTACTCAAACCACAAACATTTGAAGTGCATAGGGTTTTGGACAGGGACTTTTCTTGAGAAGAGCTTCAATTGGTATTGGATCATCTTGAGAGTAATATTGCTCCTGGGATTAACGAAATAACTTTCTCATTTATCAAATCCTATTGGAGTATCATTAGTATGGATGTCTGGAGAGCTATTCATTATTTTTTTTTTATCTGACAAGATGTCTCCTACTTAGAAAGAAACTCTTATAATGCCCATTCCTAAAGTTTCTAATCCAGTTTTTCCTTCTAATTATCAACCAATTAGTTTTTGTTTCTCTATTTATAAATTGGCGGAGAAAATGTTGCTTAATATATTAGAGTTGGTTATTCATAAAATTGTATCAGAGGAACAAGCAGCTTTCATCAAAGGTCGTTCTTTATCCGACCATCTTCTATTGGCTCAAGAAGTGTTCAACAAATTCAGATTTTCTAAAGCAAAGAATGGTTTGGTGGCTTTCAAGATAGATATGGAGCAAGCTTATGATAGCATGGGGTGGTCTTCTTTAAGGCAAGTTTTAGAGTATTTTAACTTTCCTTGTAAATGTTCTTGGCTTCTTTTAGAATGTCCGGCAGAACCTAGATTCTTTATATTAGTTAATGGCAATAATTCTAATTGGATTGAAGTGAGGAGTGGCTTTAGACAAGGGTACCCCTTGTCGCCTTATTTGTTCATCATTTGCTTTCAACTTTTGACAAAATACATTTATCCAAGATGGAAATAATACTCGGATTAAAACTTCTTCAAATTCTCCTATGCTTTCACACTTATTATATGCAAATGACATTCTGATTTTTTATGAAGCTATGTATCAGAGTGTGAAAAAAATAAAATCTATTCTTTCAAAATATTGCAAGTGGTCAGGTCAAACCATTAATATGCATAAATATATCATGTTATTTGGCAAATTTGTTGGTAGGAAGAAGAATAAGGCTATTTCTCTTCCGTGGAGGTTCAATGTTGTCAATGAATTTAATTACTTAGGAGTGAAGATTGCTTTAAAGAGACTACGGGCTTCAGATTTTTAGATTCTCATGGAAAAGGCGTTAGGTAAATTAAATGCTTGGTCGAACAAGTTTATTTCCTTACAAGGAAGGTTGGTGCTTGTAAAATAATTGTTGCTTTCTCTTCCCATATTTTTTGGCTACACACTCTCTGGTTCCTATGGGAATATTGTATGAATTTGATAAATTGTGTAGAAAGTTTATTTGGCATAAGAATGATGGAAATTTCGGTATTCATTATGTTGCTTGTGATGTTTTATACAAACCAATAATGTATAGTGGACGTGGGATTCACTCTGCTTTTTCAAAAGTAGGGCCTACTCGAGCTAAATTTGCTTCAAATTTTATTGATAACCCCAATTCTCTTCTTAATTGTAATTTGATTGCTAATTATGGTAATGACATTTGGAATGTTGAAGCCAAAAGAGGAAGTTCTTTCACTTGGAAAATTATTGTGAATGATGATATGTTTCTCCGTCTTATTGTAAGATGGGAAGTTGCAAGTGGAGAGTTGCTTAGTAATCTTAATGACATATGGATTCTTGACAAGAGTTTGTTGAAATGGACAACATTTGTTGTTGCTGATTTGGAAGATGGGGGTATGGTCTTAATAAGTTCATTGCTAATGGATAGTGGAATGCTACTCAGCTTGGGAATTTTTTTGGTGAAGAGCTGCTCAACTTAATTTTTTAAATTATTATAAATGTAGCCCTGTCAAGGGATGATATATAACTGAAAATGAAAATGTCTGGGAAAACTATTGCGGGTTTGATTATTGGGAATCAGGTAATGGACTCAGCTGATGGAAACTACTGAAGCTAGATTAAAAGACTAAAGCTGATACCTCGTGCGGAGCTCTTTTGGTGGTGTGTTTTCCATAATGTAATTCCTTTTAATGCTTTTTTAAAGTATAGAAGGCTATTGGAACAGAGCTCTTGTCCAAGAGGATGTGAGGTAGAGGAAAATGTGGATCATATAGTGGCTGGATGTTCACTACTTATTCTTGTTATAAAGCTTCTGAATAAATGGGGTTTTGAAGTTCCGATTTGCTCTTCTTTTTTGAATTGTATTAATAATTTGATATCCTCTCGTATAATAATATGTTTATAGGAAAATTATACTGTACAACATTGTTCATTATTTGGAAAAGCAAAAATAAATTTGTACATGGTGAAAAAGAAGATGGTCTGGTTTCTATTGTGGCAAATGCTTTATCTTTTGCTTCAGCTTCGTCAACTCCTTATATTAATTTAGGATTATGGGATGTTAATCAAATGTCTAAGCCGTCTTCTTCTTAGCATCCTCCTCCACTTGAATGGTTAAAGGTGAATATTGAGGCTTCTCTTTTAAATTCTAGTAAAGCTGATATAGGTGGTGTATTCATAGATCATGAAGGGAGGTTCTTGCCGGCGTTTTGTTTCAAGGGTTTATATTTGGATGTAGCTCAATTGGAATTGATGGATGTTCATTCGTTGGAGAAGTTTACTCAAGATTGGATGTTGGAAGCAAAAGGCATCATTATTAAAGGCGACAACTTTAATATTATAAAATTTCTTCAAGGTTCTTATGGAGATGACAACTTCAACCTTTTTTCTTTCCTTAAAAAGTTTAATCAAGTTATCTTTAGTTTTACCAAATTAATTGTAATAAGTTAGCATATTTATGTTCAAACTTTGATTTGTTTAGTTATTTTATTTGGGATGATATTAGTAGTGTATGTTGAGTATAGTAAATAGGTTGTTAGACCTAAATTAATGTCCCAAAGCTACCAAGAGGGGGAGGGGTGAATTGGTATTTAAAAATTTTCCCTCTTTTGATAAGTTTAACTGAAATTGAAATTTAATGAATTTTTATAAAAAGTTTTTCAACCATAATTTTAAAACACTAAATTAAATGCGGAAAATAAAAAATAGTAAAAATAAAAGAACACATAATTTATAGTGGTTCGGTCTAAACCAGAATTA